TGACATCAACTCTCTAGCTTTAACTGTCTTCGGTGAAAGATCAACTGAAAGCTTCAAATGGACTCCCAAAGGTATACTAACTGGCTTCATCTCCATGCTCACATTAAATCACTATAGAACCTTCTTCAAATAAGCCACTTGTGTCAAATAAATTATGCTCCTATCTCTGTCTCTACCGATCACCATCTCCAAAATGTGTTTCGCTTCACCCAAATCCTTCATCTCGAACTCTTTCAAAAGTTAAATCTTCAATCTATCTATGGCGGATCTAAAAATAGAAGCAACCAATATGTCATCGACATAAAGCAATAAGTAAATGTACACACCTCCATGAAACTTACGATAGTACACACAAAGATCAAACTGGTTTCTAATGTACGAATGACCGAGCATAAACCCATCAAATCACCTATACCACTGTCTTGGAGATTGCTTCAGACCGTATAGCGATTTCTTCAACCTACAAACCAATTTCTCCTTCCCTGCAGCTCGAAACCCTAATGGTTGAGTCATATAGATTTTGTCATCAAGATCACCATGAAGAAATGTCATTTTTATATCCAACTGATCTAATTCCAAACCATACTGTGCCACCAATGCTAGTAAGATCCGAATCGAAGAGTGCTTCACCACCGGAGAAAAGACTTTATTATAATCAATGCCTTCTTCCTGTGCGTATCCCTTTGTTACCAATCTAGCTTTGAACCTCACTGGAGTGCCCTTAATACCCTCCTTCTTGGTATACACCCATTTGCAACGAATCACCTTCCGCTCCTTTGGAAGCTCGATAAGCTCCCATGTGTCGTTCTTCTGAAGAGACTCCATTTCCTCTCGCATAGCTTCCTGCCACAAATCAGCCTCTAAACTCTGATCAACCTCTCTGAATGTAGTAGGAACCATCTCATTGACACTCTCCATCGAAAGTGCATAAGCAATGACTGTATCCGCATACCACGCTAGAACCTGTATGTCTCTCCTGGGCCTCCAAACTACAATTGAATCCTGAATCTGAACCATCGATCGCTGATTCTGCTCTACTGAACATGTATTCTCTAAATCATCGCTGTGCTTGCCTGGCATTACCTCAGTTAGTACTTTAATGGATATTGTCTCATCTGGACACTGTGGAGATGCATCAATCTCCACTACCTGTGATATCTCCTCTGTCGGGGTGCTCTCCACCTGATGAGAGCTGGTAGGCTTCAAGATTGAAGCATCATCAAATGTGATGTCTCTACTCAGCATAATCTTCTTCTCGACTAGATCCCAAAGCTTGTAACCTTTCACACCACGCTTGAATCCAACAAATATGATCTTTCTAGCTCAATATTCTAATTTATCAGTCTTCACATGATAAAATACAGGGCACCCAAATACCTTGAGCTAATCATAATCGTGTGCTAGCTCTCTCGACCACATCTCCATAGGGGTTTTCCCCTTAATCACAGATGAAGGCAGCCTATTTATGAGGTGGTTCGTATATGAAAGTGTTTCAGTCCAAAAGATCTTATCCAAACCACTCTGCGATAACAAACATCGGACATTCTCCAGTAAAGACCGATCCAACCTCTCTGTCACCTCATTCTGCTGCGGTATATGACTAACTATGAAGTGTCTCTCTATGCCCTCGTCTCGACAAAGCTGCTGAAAGGGGTCTGAAGTGTACTCGCCACCATTGTCGAATCTCAACGTCTTGATCTTTCTCCCTATCTGCAGTTCTAATCTCCTCTTTCATTCCACAAATAACTCTAGGACTTCACTCTTATGCTTTATAGTGTACACCCAACAACACCTAGAATAGTCATCCACAAACGTGACGAACCAATGTCGACCACCAAGTGATTCCGGCTTGGTGGGACCCCAAATATTCGTGTGCACATAGTCCAAGATATCTATCGTCCTATGAACAGTTGTCCCGAACTTCACATTTGTCTTCTTGCCAAGAACACAATACTCACAAAATTTAATTTTCCCACTCTTGGCTTCCTTCAATGACTACTGCTTGCACAGCGCCTGTAGTGACTTTTTAATTGTGTGCCCTAACCTGTAGTACCAAAGTCTACTCACGTCTGCCTTTGAAACAACTAAAGCTACCTGGCCAATCTCGGTGCTTCCCTTTAGATAATATAGATTCCTATTACGAACTCCTTTCATCACTACCAAAGATCTCTTAGTAATTTTTGCTACAGAACTTTCAAAAGTCATCTTGAATCCCTTTGCCTCTAAAGCTCTAACGGAAATAAGATTCTTCTTCAGCTGAGGAACAAATCTCACTTCATTCAGTTCTCGAACAACTCCATCGTGTATCTAAATCCTGACGGTACCTATCCCACAAATACCACAGGACTGATCATTTTCCATGACTACCACGCCCCCATCGAGCTTCTTGAAAGATGCAAAAACCAATCTCGTCGGAGAGTTATATGATAAGTAGCATCAGAATCCAGCATCCAATCAGATGCATCTGCATGGTTCACCTCTGGAGTAATCAATAAAGAAAAGTAGGAATCATCTAAATCATCACCTCTAGCGACATTCACCTCATTGGCCTTCGGGCCCTTCTTCTTGCTATTCTCCTTCTCTCTAAACTTCAGGCAATCTCTCTTCCAATGTCCTTGTTCTTTGTAGAAAGCACACTGGTTCTTCAAAATCTGATAGCGGCCTCTAGACTTTGACCTGCCTTGACTACCACCTCTTGGATATGGACTCCTTCCTCTCGTCGACAATGCATTTCCTGAAGTGCTAGCTCTGGAAGTCTCTTTGTCCTTCCTCCTCAGATCGTAATTCGTTAACGTATTAGTCACTTAACTATATGTGATGAAAGATCTACCATTTAACAAAGTGAGCATGAATGTATCATACTCTTCATCGGGTAACAAGCCTAACAAAATAATCGCCTTGTACTCATCTGTTATCTTCCCATCAACATTCGCCAAGTCCGACAATAACTTTGTGTAATTGCTCACATGATTAACAAGTGAGATACCCCTGTACATCTAGAATCTAAACAATCTTCATAACAAGTGCAGACGGTTCTCAACACTCTTCATAAGATATTTGTTATTAAGAATCCCCCACATCTTCATCGCAGATGTCACGCCAATCACATCGTATTTCAACTCTTGTTCCAAACAAGACCTAATTACCCTACAAGCGTTTCGATTCATCTTGTCCCATATCGCCTCATCATACTTCGATGGCTTCTCGTAGACCATGATGGTCTCCTCTAAGTTATGAGCATTCAAAGCATCTTGCACATCACTCATCCACAAACCAAAGTTAATTTTGCCATCATACTTCACAACACTGATCTTCGTATTCTGAAGTGCAACCTGAACAATACTCATCATCACCTTGTTGCTTTCACCAACTTTTTCTCCTATTGCAAACTAACTCCAATTGTAAACAAAGATTCGAACTTAACTGATAGAATTAAGAAATTACCCAACTAAACCCTAGATAGGGTTCCAACACAATCTCCTAACCACACGAGGAAAAGTGAGATATCCAATGTTGACTCCGCAAAGCTTTCTCCACCGAAGCCTAGATCTCTAAGACCCAACCTTCCAACAGCGAATTTTCCTCCACCCAATACAAAACCCTAGATCTGAAAACCTGATCTCTGATACCACTTATTGCATATCGTACGGAAGCATGCTCGCAATCCAAACGAGTCGGCAAGCAAGAGAGAAGAATCAAACATGAGCTCAATTAGCAAAATAACAGCCAAAATCACACAAACACAGAGATTTACGTGGTTCAGCAAATTGCCTACGTCCACGGGGAGAGGATAGGGGAGATTTCACTATATGGAGGAGAAACAACGGGTTACAAACTCTCAAACAACTCTCAAAATAACCCAACCAATGATCTTACACTCCCTCACAATAATCTCCCTATCAAAGTGCTCAAAACAATGCTAATCCTCCGTTAATCTCTGGTACAAAACCCTAGAAAGACGTGTTTCTATTTATATCAAAACTCAATCCAAAACAGACCAGGAAACGAAATCCAGCCCCTATTTGCAATCGGTCGACCTGTGCTCCTCTATCGGTCAATCGATCGACCTCCATCGGTCGACCGATAAGAGTGCATCGGTCGACCGTCCAGAGTAGGGTTTTCAAACCCCGTAATGTGCAGTACGTTCGGTCGACCGATCCTATGCCGTCGGTCGACCGACCCGAAAAAAACCTGTAGACGCTGATTTTGCACATTTTGAACAATTCGACGCCGTTTTCTACACAATAGAAGTCATTTTGATGCTGCGGTGCATGTTTTGGACGTGAGGATCGGATCAGAATTAGAGGGAACGTGTGGCGGTATAATGGGGACGTCGATGGTTGGAGGTGATGGTGCTGGAGGGATGTTTGAAGAAGTTGAGGAGGATGTTAAATCATCAATTGGTATGGGTAATAAGGACAGGAGGGGTGTAAAGGTTGAGGGGATGTATCGATCATGGGGTAGCGAGGAGATGAATATTTCTAATGGAAAATAACGTCTTGACTCGTAGGAATTGTTGGGACAAGTCAAGAAGACAACAGGTTTTCTGAACTGATGCGTAGCCCAAGAACAAACAACGTATAGCATGAGGACCGAACTTGTTATAACGGAGATGCGCCATTGTAGCATAACAAAGACAACAAAAAACTCATAGGTGGTTGTAGCTTGGGTCATGACCATGAAGAAGTTCAAAAGAAAGACTTGCCCTTGAGTTAAATATATTTTTAAATATATTTTTAATTAGCTCAAAAACCAGCACCAACATAAATCTGGGTTAATGCCTTTTTTGGAGCTCGACTTCCTCCGCGAGCGGCACAAATCCAAAACCGTCCAAACTGAACCGTTATAGGGCCCCCCCACTGAATTTCCGGTAGTGGCGCCAACAAATTCACCGCGCGCGGTGTTCTCGCGTGACAAACGCATGTGAGCGTGAGAATCTGACGGTTTATCACACGTGGCACCAGTTAAATGAAGAGAAGAAGTACCAAGTCTTTTCCAACTTTTTACACAAAACTCCGAAAAGTTTTCATTCATAACGGATCTCATACAGTAATGTTTGTGACATTGTTTTTCCAACTTTATTCATGCAAAAGGAACCGCACCAAGCACCAACGTTAAGTTGCTCTCCCTCTATAGCTCTATCACACTTACATTTTTTTTATAATTATATAGAAAATTATTCATAATATCTTGCTCCTTAATTCGTAATAAACACGACAAATTGAGAACGATGATCTGTCATGAGAATGATGCTGGTGATCAATATAGAAGCTCAATAACTCTCTCTTCTTCTTCCGCTTCTCCCGTTGTCACGATGTGTGCATGTCGAAACCTCTAGACTTCGGCCTCCTCATGATGGATTCCCATGCTTTCCTTGTTATTGACATCGATAGTAGTTAGTTCACATTTCTTGCCTTTTCCTTCTTCTCCTCCTCCTCCTTCTTTCTCCTCTTTCTCCTTATTTGCATCGATAGGGTACACCTCCGCTCCTTGCCCTACTATCCCTAGCTTCGATATCGTTACGATGTGTTCGGGCATGTCAACCTCTTCTACATCCACACATTTCGTGGTGTTCGCGTTCGTGTTCATGTACACAGCGTAGAGCACCATTTGGATCAATCCAAAGAGAAAACCGAGTATATTGGGGATCTATTAATTCAAAAAAAAAACCATTAAATGTGAAATATTAATTATTAATTATCGCTCTGCAGGAATTTTCCGTCTAGGATACCTCATTATTTAGTAGTGCAACTAGAGTGAAAGAGGATTTACCGCAATGTACTTATCATGAGAGAGGAAGCCATAGAAGAACCAGGCCACCGCACTAAAAGTCAGGAACAACGATAAGGAGAAGGGCATGAACTCCACGCTCCTTGTTTTGATGACAAGCCTCTGAAGAGTGGAAACGATTAGTATAAAAAAGAAGGACTAATTTTACAAAATCATGTAGAAATAATTATATCCGAATTTTCTTGTTACACTACTCACAATGATGCTCAACGGCGCAACGAATACACATACTGAAAACCCTACACAAATCCATCCAAGGATCGTCACTCTGTCACCTCCGTTCGCAAAGACAAGGCTCACTAACACAATCAATCCGAACATCCCAACGTTCAACAAGAAAAGCAATTTTGCGGTATAAACCTACGTGCAAAAGCTTAAACTGTCAGTAACTAATAATGAACAAAATCTACTCTTTTTTAGTTTCTCTATTATATATGTGAATATATGGAATTTACCTTAGCCTGTCTTGGTGCATAAATGAGGTACATAATGATGTATGTGCTCTCTATTATGCATCCAAGTCCATTGATGGTGAGGAGGAACTCGGCTTCAGTCTTAAGAAGGGCATAGTATATCCAGAGCATTGCGCTGAAGAGCGCAACGATGTAGGGGAATGATTGAAATCCTTCAGTTGATTTTCTTTTGTATACTCTCCAAAATGTTGGCCTGTAAATATATATTCATCATATGTGATTATAAGAAAAAAAAAGGAAGTGAATGATTAAAGAGGTAGATTAGGAGTACTAATTAGTAGGCGATTATGTGCTTACACCGGTGCAAGGTAGACCATGAATGAGATCAGGTTACCTGTGGATAGCAAATATAAACAAATAGTTGTTATTTGATGTTGGATCTATTGGATTTGGATTGATTATTCTATATGGAAATGTTTCTTATAATAATAAACCAGTAGCTAACTTGTCCATGCTAATATGTACCTGTACTGCAAAAGAGGGTCGGTCTGGTAATAGAAGTAGGAGAGATGAAACTTTGGAAAAAGCATGATATATATATGCATGTTACCATTACTTAGTTACGAAAATGATTTCTCAAATAAAGAGCCTAGCTTATGCATTAATTATATTATTAGTGCTTAATAATATAAAAAGAATTAATATTTGGTAGAAGAAGAAGAAGAAGAGCTCGATCTTTCATGTCAATATATACCTAGAACACCAAAGATGAAAGCCGAATGGTTGGACGTGGATAAGCCGAACATCTTCTCCCCCTCTTTTGAATTTCAAGAAGAAATGGTTAGAGGAAGAGCTCAGAGAGAGAGAGAGAGAGAGAGAGAGAGGTAGCAAAAGAAGAAATCAAGAAGAAATGGTTAGTGTTTCTCCTCTATAGAAGAAAAATCCCTTGGCCTTTGCTAGCTCTTATGTACCAAAACTACAATGGTAAGTAGTATATATAGAGGAAGCTTACTAGTCTCCCTAGAGTACAAAAGACTTAAAAGAGGTGGTGAGAGATCTTAAGGTCTCCTTGGCCTTGTGTGAGAGAGGGTTAGGAATTGGCCTCATTTTATAGAACAAGAAAGGGAGGAAGTGCGCATCGCCTCAATTTGCTAATTAAATGAATGAGGTGGCATATAGGGAGACCATTCCACATGCCAACTAAATGTAGAATATAGTTTTCTATACAAGTTTCGAAAGACAAAAAATTAATGTTGGGGTTTAGCATTAACGGTTTTTCTATAGAGTGCCCATGGGCACTCTATAAGAGAGTAGAGAGATAGAGAAAAATGAATAGCACATGGGCTTCCCCTGATTTGTATTAATTTCTGTGCATAATTTATTTCTCTCTATCTCTCTCCTCTCTTATAGAGTGCTCATGGGCGCTCTATAGAAAAACCATAGCATTAATAAGGATATATAAATCCCACTAAGAAAACTTGTTTCTAAATTACCAACTGGTAAAAAAACTTGCGCATTACGCTCATTTTTCCTCTCAATTTTGCTTCTTTGGCTTTAATTTGTCAAGAATAACCATCGTGCATTAGCTAGAAATTAAGTTCCTTAAGTAATTTGCAAATTAGAATAGGAGATCAATCATAAGAGTACGAGTATATTTTTGTAGGAATTAGTGATAAATACGAATACGTTACTCATCGTAGCTCCTTTCATGTGAGCCCTTTTTAGCCGTTTCTTCCTTCATCATCACATCCTCACTCTGCACCAACTCAAAAACATACATGAACTTGCTTGATAAGCCCAATCATTCCCTAATGTGGGCCCCCACTTCTGTGAGATGGTACTGAATTGGGTGGTCTTTGGAAGTGGTTTCAACAATTGGAAACGCTAGCTTCTCTCCATGACTTCCTTCTTTGTGCACCTTTACTTCTCCAATTTTCCTCTCATTTTTGTTCTTTTATAGAAGTTGAGATAATTTGTTGTTTTTATAGGTAACAACACTCTACATGACATTTCACTATTTTTATTACTTGTTAAGTTTTAACATATTGTGTTATATATATGAAACCCACTAGTAAAATGACATGTCTACTTAAGGACTATAGAGAGGGATGAAATTAAAAGGGAAGCCACATTAAAAAATTTTGAATTGCCCACTGCTATTTATAGAGAGGAGAAGGTTACTAGGCCTAAAATTACTAATGCCCTTAAGTTGGAAAGTGAAACATACTTGTGGTGAGTGCAACACCACCACCAACTCTCATAGAGAAGTTTAATGATCTCGTTCTAAGACCATAAAATTTTTTTGAGCTTCCATTAAAATGTTATTATTGAAATTCTTGTACAGAGAGTAGCTCATCAAAGCTTTCCTAATCACAATTACTCCTTTCTTAGTCAGGAATTATTTGGTTATTAATTAATAATCGTCCTATCATATGTACTATTAGTCTATTATATCTGTTACTTATTAGGAAGTGAGATGTTAAGCTAGCTAGGGTTAAGCTTTAATTGGTTAAAGCTTTGCTAATCCCTGTTACCAGCGAGTCTTGTTTTCTTGTTTTCAAGCTTTTTTTTTTCCTTTGCCGTTTTAAAAGCAAGTGTAGGACAAAAGTAAAGAGTATGATGTAGGACGCTTAACAGATAATTTCATGGAGAATTCGGACAATCATGAGCTAAATATAGATTTATACGTATTATTGACTTTCGCAAAGAAACAATCATATTTTACAATCCGAAAAGTGAATTCTGATATATTATATATGTAAATTGCCTATCTCGACAAGACGGAGCCAACCAGATTGTCAGGTTTTTAAAATCTCATCAGTAATACCCAGTTTTGGCTATCCAAAAATAATCAGAGCCTATTTAGATTAGGAAATAAATTTAATATTAGAGTCAAATTAGATTAAGAAACAAATTTAATTTTGATTCATGATTTGTGTCCTCTATTATAGGGAGTCTTTTTAGGATAGAATTTGATACTTTCCATTTCTTTGTAATTTTAGTCTTACTAGGAGTCTTGTTTATTTTCGATTTAAGATGAGAATTGTAAGCCCTAGAGGCATAACTTTTCATCAATAAAATTTTTCTTTTTAATATTTTCTTCGTGGACTCGAACTTCTTCGTGGATTCGAAGATCGTTCTTTGTGGATTCAGAGAACACCCATTGGTGGATTTCGAGGTTATCACTTCTGCACTGCGTCAATTGGTACCAGAGCTTTGTTCCTCCGATCCGATGGCAGGTGATGAAACCCCTATTTCTCGAACTAAGTTCGATGAGTTAAAAACTGATGTTAATCAAATGAAGACTGCTATAGAGCGACTTGCGTCGGCAGTAGAGCGTCTGAACACGGTAGGAGTTCGATATTGCGTTGATGGTCGCCAATGACGTGATCCAACTCCACAGGATGAATTCAACGGCGACAATGACCCTATGCAAGACCTTGGAGTTAGGAAGAGAACTAAAGAAGCAATAAAGAAAGAAGAACCACCTCCAGAGCATAATATCTTTCGCATGTGATGTACTGTGATGCAGAAGGTTTGTGATGTTATTATTGACAGTCACAGTAGAAAGAATCATGTGTCTCGATGTATAGTGAATAAGTTAGATTTGAAGGCAGAGAAACACCCTCCTCTCCACAAGATCGACTGGATTCACAAGGGCAATGATGTGCAGAACGATGAGATATGTCGGGTACCTTTTTCTATCGGTCGCAGCTATGTTGATGATGTGTTGTGTGATGTGGTCGAGATGGATACTTGTCATACGCTTTTACGTAGGCCAGGACAATTCGATATTGGAGCTACCCACAGAAGTAGAGACAATATTTATATCTTTAAGAAGGATGGACGCAGAATTGTACTTATGCCTCTTATAGAAAAGGATCCATCTAAGATAAAGACTACTGAGAAGAAGAGACTCTTGGTGACAAATAACGAGGCTTTAGGAGAAAACTTGAAGCAATCTGAAGAGTGTATGACATTGTTATAACTAAAAAAGAAGAACCTACCCCTACCGAAATTCCTCCTAAGGTGCAAACACTCATTATGCATGAGATTCATGATGCTGATGGTGATATGATAGTGAAGATGGATATTATGTATGATATTTTTCAGAGAGGTTATGAGCGATATTGCACATATTAATAATGTCCTGATAGAGGAGAATGATAAAATAGAGAGTGAGGCAATTGATGGTATGTGTGAATTGCTTGGTGAAGAGCCCGAGGCAAAGAAGATAAAAGAATTATGTATGGAGTATGAGGGAGAAAATTCTTTTTTGGAAGCAATGATCATCAATAATTTCAATAATGGTGAGATGATACTGCCGACACTAGAATATAGGAAGCAACAAGAACAGTATTTGGAAGAGTTTTTCATGTCAACTACAAAGCCACATGTTGCCAATTACATACATATGTCATGAGAAAAATTTATACACAAGTTTGATATAGAAGAAGTCCCAGCAGAGGAGGTAAAAGAATAAATGGAGAAAATCAATGCTAAATACAAGGTGGATGTTGATCGTTACAAGAGAAGAAAATTATTTAATAATGAAGATACTATTCTAACAAATATAAGCTCGGGGTCGAGCTTCTTTCTACAAGGGGAGACTAATGTAGGATGCTTAACAGACAATTTCATAGAGGATTAGGACAATCATGAGCTAAATACAGATTTACACGTATTATTGACTTTCGTAAAGAAACAATCATATTTTTCTTAATGATAATTCTCTTCTAGGGTCGATTTTTTTCATTGTGCACGTTGGCGGGAGATCTCTTTCCCACTAACCTGCGCCCCCGCCGAGTTTTAAATGACAAGAAAGAAGAGAAACAGTGGTACGAAGATCCTAAATCAAGGATTGAGAGCTGCAAATTCTTGTTTGCAATCATCTAGTGATCAATCTAGTACGAGTTTGGCCGTAAATGATGAAGATCTTGAGCTCGAGGTGATGGGGTCAACGGGTCTAAAGGGAGAGAAGAAGAAGCTACTGATGAAAGATATTCTCAATTCAAACAAAATCTTGGTGGATTCTCTTCAGCAGTCTCAGAGGATTCTTGAAAAGAACGGACTTCAATCACGAAATCTCTGTAAGTCCTCAATCTCTGGTGATAGCTCATCTCGGATTTCTTGGGCTGATGATCTTGATTTAGAACTTTCATCAAGCTTTTCATCAAAGAATACTCATAACAATGTTTCTTCCTTGATGTTGGATTCTTCTTTGCTTTCAAATGAATTTACTATACCATTGAATCCGGATGGAAAAATTGCTAATCCAATTGAGATTTCACTCCAAAGTAATGATAAAACTGGATTTCTTGGAGGGGAGAAAGAATTCCCGCCACTTGTAAAATCCAATGGAAAAGGGGGAAATGTTTCACCGTCGATTGTTAATTGAAGAAATGAAAACCCTAATTCATTATGATATCTCTTGGGCTTTATATAGGCCCCTACAAATCTTACAAATAAGTCCCTAATAATACTAATATGTCAACACTCCTCCTCAAGATGGGCGAAAGATATCTATTAAGCCCATCTTGTCACATCCTCTAATCATATCTACTGAGTTGAGTCCTTTAGTCAGACAATCTGCTGCCTGGTCCTTAGTCGAAACATGACTTAGCTCCAGTAGTCCACTATCCAACTTCTCTTTGATGAAGAACCTATCGATCTCGATGTGTTTGGTTCTATCATGCTGCACTGGGTTGTTGGCAATACTTATAGCTGACTTGTTGTCACACCATAACTTCATCTTATCTCCTTGATCCAGCTTCAGCTCCACCAGCATACTCTTCAACCATAGCAACTCAGCAACTCCTAAGGCCATAGCTCTATACTCTGCCTCAGCTGTCGATCTCGCCACCACCGACTGCTTCTTGCTCTTCCACGAGACTAAGTTACCTCCTATAAAGATGCAATATCCTGAGGTGGACCTCCTGTCATCAGCACAGCTAGCCCAGTCAGAGTCGCAATAACCCTCGATGTTCACATGTCCATTCTTTCTGAATATCAGCCCCTTTCCGGGGGCACTCTTTAAATATCTCAGAATCTGGTACACAGCGTCCATATGACCCTTCCTCGGATCGTGCATGTAGCGACTCACCACGCTTACTGCAAAGGAGATATCAGGACGTGTGTGACTCAAATAGATCAGCCTTCCCACCAACCTCTGATATCTGTCACGATCAACTGGTTCTCCAGCCTCAGCACCTAGCTTGAACCTCTGGTCGATCGGTGTAGTTGCAGGTTTGCACCCTAACATTCCTGTCTCTTTGAGAAGATCCAGTGCATACTTTCTCTGGGATAGGATGATCCCTTCCGCTCCTCGAGCTATCTCTATTCCAAGAAAGTATCTAAGCAAGCCAAGATCTTTCACCTCAAATTCCTTACCCAGTCTCACTTTGAGTTGGGCAATCTCCTTCTCATCATCCCCTGTAATAATCATATCATCCACATATACCGCAAGCATAGTAATGTGGCCTCCACTCCGTCGAAAGAACACTGTATGGTCGGCGTTGATCTGTTGGTATCCCATACCAATCATAGCCCTTCTGAATCTGTCGAACCAAGCACGGGGAGATTGCTTCAGACCATAGAGAGACTTCTTCAATCTGCAGACCTTTCCCACTGTCTGATCTGTACCAAATCCTGGTGGTATCTCCATGTATACCTCCTCCACTAGATCTCCATGAAGAAATGCATTCTTCACATCTAGTTGGTGTAGCTTCCATCCACCATTTACTGCCAGAGAGATTAAGGTCCGAACAGTGCTCATCTTCGCCACCGGTGCAAAAGTCTCATCATAATCGATGCCATATGTCTGACTATACCCTTTTGCCACCAGGCGAGCCTTGTAGCGCTCAACTTGTCCATCTGGATTCTGCTTCACAGTGAAGACCCACTTGCATCCAACTGCTCTCTTTCCTTCTGGTAACTTTACTAGCTCCCAAGTGCGGTTCTTCTCTAGAGCTCCTAGCTCCTCGTGCATAGCCGCTTTCCATTTTGGGTCCTTCTTAGCAACCTGCCAATTGTTAGGTACAGTAACAGAGTCCAATGATGCAATGAATGCTCCATATGCAGGGTGGATACTAGAATATGATACATACTGGGCAAGATCCCAACCATATCTATCGGGAGGATGTCCCGCATTACTGCGAGTAGTCCTCCGTACTGATATTGGTGTGGGAGGAGTAGGGAGAGGAATGTTATCAGTAGGAATGTTATCACCTTGGGATGAAATTGGTGGTGGTGTAGGTATTTCAGGAGTCGGGGTGGGCTTTGGCAAGAGACTTGGCAGCACTAGTGGCACTGTAGGTACTGTTTCTCCAATTTGTTTGCCCTTCCTACTATAGGTTAGTAGCTCCCCCTGAACAGTGGGCCTAACACCTCTTGTCTCTTGTTCCTTTTCTTCGTGATTCTCCGGCTCCTCCTCAACCAACTCCTCCTCAACCAATTCGCCCTCCCAAGGAATCGATACAGAAATGGATTTCTCCACATTGTTCTCCGGTCTCTCACCATTCTCCTCCTCTCGCCCCATACTTCTAGTATTGGACGAGTTACCAGCAGATGAAGTTACCTTCTGAGTGTAATATGGCTCGAGTTCTCGAAAGTGCACATCCATGCTCACAAACAACCTTTTTTCCACCGGGCTCCAGCAAACATATCCCTTCTGAGTAGCAGAATATCCCACAAAGATACACTTCACAGCTCTAGGGGCAAGCTTCCCGACAGACGGCCTGTTGTCCTTCACAAAACACACACAGCCAAACACTTTGAGTGGAAGGATCCCACCATTATCTCCTTTCAATATCTCACACGGAGACTTCCAATCCAGCACTCTCGAGGGCATTCTGTTGATCAACGCTGCTGCGGTCAATACTGCTTGTCCCCATAATGTCTCTGGGACATTCATAGAGATCATCATGCTTCTAGCAACCTCTAAAAGATGTCTGTTCTTCCTTTCCGCTACCCCATTCTGTGCTGGAGTGTATGGACAGGTTGTCTGGTGATGTATTCCTTGAGCTGACAAATATTCTTCAAGGGCTCTGTTGGTATACTCTGTCCCATTATCTGACCTCAATACTTTCACCACTGCTCCGTATTGAGTCTGAACAGTCTTATGAAAATTTTGGAAGCACCCAAACACATCACTCTTATTCTTCATCAGGTATAACCAAGTAACACGAGAGAAGCAATCAATAAATGTAACAAAATATTTGTATCCATTCATAGAACTTGTGGAACAAGGCCCCCAAACATCTGAATGTACCAGGTCAAATGCATGAGAACTTCTATGACCAGAACTAACATAAGAGCTTCTAGTAAGCTTTCCCAACTCACATGCATCACACACAAGTTTCTGTTTATTTGCTTTCTCAAATAAAGAAGGATACAATCTACCTAAAACACTAAAGGATGAGTGTCCCAAACGCTGGTGATGGAGCATTAACTCATTTTCAGCACTCATTTTAGATCCTACTCCTGCTTCCTCTATGACTGACACCAATGCTGAATCCAGCCCTTCACGATCCAGATACCACAGTCCACTACGCCATGTGCCAGTCCCAAGTCTCCGCCCTGTCCCCTTCTCCTGGAAGATTACCTTGGGAATATCAAAAGAGACGATGCATTTTAGTTGGAGGATGATAGAACTAATAGATAAAAGATTGACTGGAAAAGAAGGAGCATGCAAAACATTGGACAAAGTTACAGAACCAGTACAATCAACTGTACCCTTACCAACCACCGGCTGAAATGTACCATCAGCTGTTTGAATACTATCAGGCGATGCTAAGTGAGTATATGATGAGAACTCACTAGCATTACCTGTCACATGACAAGACGCACCGGAGTCGACTATCCATGCTGATGATCTGTCAGGAGACATAGAAGCAAGAGCATGTATGTCATCAGTACCTTTGTTCGGATGAGCATAGGTAGCAGTGTTGCCTCTGACGAAGAACGAAGTAGATGCCTCCGCAGTCCCATTCCTCAAATCTCCATCCCCTGCTACTTGCTGTTTTTTCCTGAGTATCGTGAGGAGAGCACGATCCTCCTCTGTAAAGACCACCTCAGCTTCTTCTTCTTCTGCTACCGTCAGATTCGCCCGATTCCCTGCTCCTCTTCCACCTCGTCGACCCCCACGGCCACGACCACGACCTCCGAACTGTCCACGTCCACCCGAATCTCCATCCTTGGATGGCTTGGTGCAAGCATGCCGTAGATGACCCACCGCACCGCAGTTATAGCACTGTCGAGTCTCTCTCCTAGATCCAGTGTTGCTAGAGGCTGTCAGTGCTGACTTCACCACAGGAAGTCCACCTGTCCCCGCCTGCAGCCGAATGCGAGTCTCCTCCTGGATCATAGCAGAGATAGCCTCCTCAAGCGTGGGAATCTTCGGCTGAGCTAGGAGCAATGCAATTCGCTGAGCGAACTCTGATGTCAATCCCTTAAGAAACACCATAGTCCTCTCCTGTAGAAAGGCCTCCCGCTCTTTACATCC